TATGTTCTGACAAGTAGTAGTAGTTGTGATTTTTATAGCCAATCTTTGTTCTGACACTAATATTTGGTATGGAAATATTAATCATACAGTCACAAGCACACTGACAGGTGAACATGTTCATCTGCCTAGGTTACATACTATTATCTAGAAATATATATAAATTATTTATACATATATCCCAGCAATGTTTTTAGAAGTGTATGAAATGCCTTGAAGTACAGTGTCACACAAGCTTCGCTCTACACTTCTGACGGTGCATTTACTCATCACTCAATACTGCTGATAATGCACTGCTCCCAGTGAACCTTGTCATATGTTTTTTTTATTTGCTCTCACTGTTATAACTATCTGTATCTGTCTGCCTGCCTGTCTCTCTATGTCTGCCTGTGTATGTCTGTCTACCTGTGTGTTTATGTCTGCCTATCTGTCTCTCTCTGAGACAGCTGGTTATGAACCAACAGGTATTACACTCATTACAGAATCGTGACATCTGATTCCTAAACAAGTAGAAATGCATATTACTTGCCAATCATGCTTATGTCTTATATCTGTAAGCACAGTATAGCACTTTGTCTGGCTTTTTTGGGTTATCCTAGGTAATTTACATTGTGTATGATAACAGACAAACACAAACAGATAGACAAACACAGACAGATAGACAAGCACAAACAGACAGAGAAAGATGGAGACAGAGACAGAGAAAGACAGAAATAGAGGCAGAGGCAGAAATAGACAGATACAGAGAGAGAGAGAGAGGCAGATGGAGACAGAGACAAACACAGAGACAGATAGAGGCAGAGACAGATAGAGATAGAGACAGATAGAAACAGAGACAGATAGAAACAGAGACAGACAGATAAAGACAAAGACAGCCAAAGTCAATCTGCTATAAAGTCAGCCTGCCGAACAAGTATTACACATGTTCCAGAATCATTTCTCTTCACTTAGGACATAGGTTATAGGACATTGTGGCAGCATGACACTACCAGTGATATCAAAATTGAAAGGATGTGGCACAGTGTTGCACGTGAGTTGTTATTGAGGTTTTTTATATGTCCTCAACCACTTGTGGCCACATCCATCTCAGAACCACTAAACCCAGGGTCAACATCACTTTCCTCTTAAAAGGAGAGTGTTAATACAACATGGCATCAGTGAATCCCTGGTGTTTGTCACGGTGTTTGCTCTAGCAGGCGCTCAATTGAACTGGTGCTTCCACCCTTGGCTGTCTTCAAGAAAGCACTGGACAGGCACCTAAAGTCAGTACCTGACTGGCCAGGCTGTGGTTCATACGTCAGTTTGCATGCGGCCAGCAGTAACAGCCTGGTTGACAGAGACAGATGGAGACAGAGAAAGATAGAAATAGAGGCAGACAGAGAAATAGAGACAGATACAGAGAGAGATAGTGACAGAGAGAAAGAGAGAGAGAGAGAGACAGAGACAAACAGAGGCAGATGGAGACAAACACAGATACAGAGACAGATAGAGACAGAGACGAGGCCTGGTCTTGGACTGAGCCACTGGGGCGTTGACCCCCAGAACCCCCTCCAGGTAAACTCCAGGTAAAACAAGGTATTAAGTGGTCCCAGATTGTTTAATACTGTGCACACTGTGTGTTAAGACCCATTCTATACTAATGAGACATCTCAGCCCAATCATGCCAAATTTGGAGGTGGGAAAAATAAAATGTCTATCTACATTTGGAGTGCTAGCAGTAAGAACATAGATCAATGTTTGTAGAGTTTAAGGGTTAAAGTGCAGGCATTGTACTTCCCACCTCCAGGGCTCAAGTCCGGCTAACTGGTTTCACTGAATCCCTTCACAAAATAATTCCCTACTCACACTCCAACAGTCACCCTATAAATCATTCTGTTTTGCTCCATCCACTCTAAATGACCAAACCACCTCAATAATCCCTTTTCAATCCTCTGAATAATACTTTTTTGTAACTCCACACCTCCTAATATCCACACTACAAATTTTCTGCATAATATTTACACCACACATTACCCTTAGACACATCATCTCCACTGCCTCCAGCCTCCTCCTTGCTGCAACATTTACAACCTGTGCTTCACACTTATATAAGAGTGTTGGGACTACAATTCTCTCTTACATTTCCTTCTTTGTCTAACATTTGGATAACATTTTTTGTTTCCACAAATCCTTTTTTTTTTTTTTTTTTAACCCTTTCAGGGTCCAGAGGCCAAATTTCAAAGTGCACACCAGGGTCCAAGAATTTTCAAAAAAAAAAAAAAATATTTTTTTTCTTATGAAATGGTAGAGAATCTTTTTCTGAAGGTAATAAAACAAAAAGTACGAAATTTGATGGAAAATTGACGAAATTACAGTGGACCCCCGCATAACGATGGCATCACATAGCGATTTTTCCGCATACCGATTACTTTTATCGCAAAATTTTTGCCGCGCATACCGATTAAAAACCCGCTTACCGATTTTCGTCCGAGACGCGTCCAATGTGCCCTCAGCCAGCCTCACATGTGCCGGCCGTCCCATTGTTTACCAGCCAGCCTCCGCGGTAACATCCAAGCATACACTCGGAATATTTCGTATTATTAGTGTTTTCGGTGCTGTTTCTGGAAAATAAGTGACCATGGGCCCCAAGAAAGCTTCTAGTGCCACCCTGTGGTAAAAAGGGTGAGAATTAGTATGGAAATTAAGAAAGATTTGAAGGGTTGGGGCTAACCCTGAGAAGCCTATGCCAGTTGGGAATCCATTGTGCCTACTTCAAAGATAAGGAAATGTGTGCACAGTGGGTTGAATGCAAACCTTTATAGATGAAAATCACCCTGACACAGCTGTTGCAAGCCGTGCTGGTGACTATTTCAATGACAATGTTGTGGCCATTTTAGACAAATCGTAAAGGAACGGGAGGTACAGAGTCTATGGACAGATTTGTTGTGGACAGAGCAGTGACTACTCAAGCTGGTCCTAGGGCATTAAAAGAAGAAGGGAAGTAACCCCGGAAAAGGACTTGCTACTCAAGTCGTAATGGAAGGGGATTCCCCTTCTAAACAGTAAGAAGATAATGCTCTCCCCTCCTCCCATCCCATCAATCATCACCAGATCTTCAATAAAAGTAAGTGTCATTTAATTGTGCATGCCTTTTTCAGTTTGTGTGTATTAAAATTAACATTTCATGTGGTAAAAAAAAATTTTTTTCATACTTTTGGGCGTCTTGCACGGATTAATTTGATTTCCATTATTTCTTATGGGGAAAATTCATTCGCATAACGATTATTTCGCATAACGATGAGCCCTCTTGCACGGATTAAAATCGTTAACCGGGGGTCCACTGTATGCTCTCGCGAATTTTGATGTGTCATCAATATTTACGAATCGGCGATTTTGCCGACTTTGACTCCCATTTTAGGCCAATTACATTATTCCAGTCGACCAAATTCTTAGCTATTTCACTAGTATTACTTCTATTCTATTGATTGAGCACAAGGAATTGCCAAGTCAGCTGTTTCAACTACAAAATACCCAAAAAACCCCCCCCCCCCCCCCCAAAACTTTTTCCCCCCCCCCCCCC